TATTACACGTGAGTAGGGCAAAACCATCCCCTATCGACGTCTGCTTTTTTTGCCAGCGGAAGCACGCCATTATTAAAGTTGATCGGTCGCGTGTATCGGGGGAGGTTTACTGGCCTATATCCGGGCCACATATGAAATTCTTTCACCCCCATTGATCACTCCCTTTCCAGGGGATCCCACGATGACATGCGAAAGGCACCCCCGTGGTTGAGTTTTCCCAGGATTCGAAGGAGAAAAATTCGGGAAACATCAGGAAACGTCAGGAAAATTCTTTTCCCACCCCCTCTCGAAATCACCCCTCGGACTTGACTCGTTCCTTCCCGGACAAGCTCGCCTCTAAGCCTCAAGAAAATCGGTCCTCTCGTCTTCCGATATTTCTTTTTTTTTTTAATTACCCACCCGCGTCCACCTTCAACCCCCCCGTGAGAACGGGAGCCCATCCGACCTTTTTACGGGCGAAACGAAGGGGGAAAAAGAAAAAAAAAAGAAAATACGGGAAGAGGATAAAACTCGACGATGACGCTTTACGCGTGTGTTTACGCCGCAGGGGCGGTTTACGGGGGAGGGTAAAGGGCCGATGCGTCGTTTTCCGAAAGACCCTATGAAATCTTTATGGACACGTCGGCGGCGAGGGATGCTCCTCGTCACCTCTTGCCCCCCCTCCCCCTTTTAGGAGACATTTCGACAAGGGAAAGGTCAGTGAACTCGCGCCCTGGTGATCAGCCTCCGAGCTGGACTGATCGGAAAGGAGGGATGTACCAAGGGGGATGAGTCTCGAAATATCGCCAGGGGGTGCAGCCTCGAATTTTCGGAAATCGAGACGCGTCCATTAGAGGAACCAGGAGTAAAAGGGACGAATGGTTGGGCAGGATTTTTCGAAGAACGAATCCGAGTGACCCCCGAGCATCCGGGAGACGTCCATAAGGGGTCGAAATTAGAACGAGGTCCAATCGGTGCCCGGCGCCCGCCACGTTACATAACGATGCGTCTAGACGCGTCGCGACGCCTTTATAAATAAACGCGACGACGCTCCTTTTGGAACATCTCGGTTCCCCCCGCCGCTCGACCCCTCCGTCGACCCGAGAGCAGAAATGACTGCGAAAACTGCATCCATCACAGCCTTGCACTTCACCCTCTTAGAGGGGAGCAGAAGTGATGGTTCCCCATGGAAGAAGCGTAACACCCTCGATCGCGTTAATTTATCCTCCCCTTCCGGTATCTCGAGCCCTTGGGAAAATATCAGCACACATCACTATTTAAGAACAGTGAAAAATCTGCAAATAAAGTGGAAAGGACCTCGGAAGGGGTGCCTTATCAAACGGGGAAAGGTAAATACAAGCAGGGGCGATTTCCATGGGGAGTATCCGAAGACTCCTTCTTCCCTTTTTCCGCGAATAATTTAGATATGAATATGTGGATTAATAGCGACGTTCCGAAGAGTCGGGCCGCGGAGGGGGTGGAAAAAAATCCGGAAGAGGTGGAACCGCGCCGGGCGCGATAAATGCAAACGCGGGAGAGGGGTTATTTTCCTCGGGCAGCGCAGGGTGCAAGGTGCAGTCATTCACACGGAGTTGGTGCACCCCCCTCGTTGCGACGAAATGCGCGAAAAACGAGAGCACCCCCTGTCGCGCACCAGCCCCACCCTGTCCCCTCCCCCCTGTACCCGGTCGCGTTCAACGGCCACCACCCCGACGCGGATCTCGGGGGTGGCGTAGTACTCGAAAAGAAGAACGGGGTGTATCGACCACTGACGTCATCCATCCCCACTAGTTTACGTCACACACCCTCCCCGCATAGGAGGGAGGCCGCCGCAGGGCCGCGCCACGTGGGGACCCCACGTCCTCGCGACCTCATTGCCAGTTACTCGGAATATTAAAAAGAAATCCCTTAGAACAATTACCGAGAAATTAATTTCGCAATAATAATGATTCCATCGAGCGATTAAAGGGTGCGGTCACGCCCTTAGCCTCCCCCAACGAAAGACCTCGGTACCCTTCCGCACCTCCAAACAGGGGAGGGACGTTCCCCCTCGACACCTTGCCGAAATATTTGGAAAAGGGGGATTAGGTGGGACGAAAGTGTTCTCTTCTCTCCCTGGAGGGTGCGGAAAATCGCAGGAACCCCTCCCTTAATCCGGCACCCCGGAGAACCCTGGGTTGCACGGTCCTGCACCCCCGAGTGCGAGTGCACATTTATTGATCGAACCCTCCCTGGCTCGTACTCCACTCCCCCCCTCACCCCCGCGGCTCCGCCTCGTACTTTCTCGTACTTTCTCGGGGTCCGTAAAACGCGCGGGAAAACCACCCCTCGAGATACGTTTTTCCTACCCCCCGGGAGGCCCGGCTCAACCGTCCGGGGGGAGGGGCGGACAAAAGGGGAAAGGAAACTCCGTTTGTTTTGCTCGTTATCCTCGCGCCCTGGTTACACCCTCCGGTTCTGCCCTTCCGAAGTGCACCCTTTCCGAGTCGCCCCGCCGATTATCCCAGCCCTGGGGATGGCGCATCTCGATATCTCATCCCTTCCAGTACGGCAAGTCGTGGAAAGTCCAACTCGAGACGTCGACATGCGAGCGATAAATAATTTTTCCGGCCGTTCGTCGGAAGTTGCAAAAATCGGCGAAGAGGAAGGGGAGGTCAGGACGCGACCCGTGACCCGTCACACGGCGCTTCCGGTCGGCATTTCGCTTTTTGCCCCCCTCCCCCCGGCTCTACCCCACCTCTTGGCCGCGATTTCAGTAACTTCCGGTCACGCGAGTCCCCGAGCCCCGGGTCGCGTGCGAATCGCGAGCGCCTCCTGCACCCCACGGGCGGAACGATGACCATGACACGCGTGTCACGCGAGTCACGCGAATCGCACGAAACCTCGCTAGACGCCCATGAGATGAGCGGTAGACATGTAATGGGTCAGAAGGACAAAAAAGAAAAGGAAACTGTGAAAAGTCGAGGTATGAGTCTAAGAGGGGGAGACCAGGTTCTCCAAAATGGCCGCCAGGCGCGGAATCGCGGAAAGGGTGTCCAGGAGGTGAAGTCGGCATCCCCGTGCATGTATCTCGTACCGGGGATCGTAAGCAGCCGACTCGCCCCTCACTCTTGATACCCCGAGGGGAGGGAGCGATAGCAAAGGGGCCAATGCCAACGGGCGTTTAATTTCGTTAAGAGCACTCCAGAGGCGCTGGGCGCCGCGTCCCGATAAATTCCCGGGTGAACTTTAAAGCGAGGCGCTTTTTTTTTCCCCAGGGAGAGGGCCCCCGGCCGGAAATTTTGAACCACCCTCGCGCCCGGGGCTGGACGACGAGACAGATTTTTCCCTCCCCCGGGACTCCCTTTATTCTCCACCCTCCAGTTTTCGCGGTAGCCCTGCGGCCTCCGGGGGTGAGCCCGGCTGCCGAAATCGCCCTGACGGAAGATGGACCTTTCGTTATTTCTCCCTGTAGATCTCCGTTATCCAGACCGTCGCTCCCCTAGGACGCAGTCGCCGCACCTGGGTCGACCGTCTCGGCGCGCCCCGACGTCTAAATCGGTCCCGCGCCTAATTCGTTCGCTTTGGGAAATAGGCCTAAACTCGTCGAGGAAAAGCGAAAACCACGACGGGTCGCCGACTCGGGGACGTCACCGTGGTATAACTGGGTCGTCGGGCGCGCGGCGACAACACGCCGGTTATTTCTGCACCCGATGTTTCCCGAATATACGGAGGGGCTGTAGAATGCGGCATAGAGCCGTTTAACGACCGCCGGACACCCGAGACCCACCCCCCAGGAGGCGTTAAACGCCGTTCGCGACGTTTCCTGGGGATTACTTAAATTCCCCCGTTAGGGGGCCGCCCGTTTAACGTCGGGTCGTCGTTTAACGCCGGCAGAAGTCGTTTAACGCTGCTTCTTGGTCCCCGAGGAATTTGGCGAAGGCCCCCGAGTCGAGTCGAACGAGATGGCGGCGGGTCGGCGACTTGGAAGCGCCACCGGGTGGAAGTGGACCGTGGACAACACTCGGGCTATTTCCGTGGCAGACGAGCTTACGTCGGCGGGGCCGGGAACGCGCGTGTGGAGTGCATCCCCGTCTCCGAAATCGGAATGACTCACCGGATTATTTGCGTTTATGTAATCCGAGAGATGCTACGCGACGCTACGCCACGCGCCTGACGTTAGCCGTCGCGGTAAAAATCGGCCGGTTGACCGCGGAACACGATACACCCCGCGGTGGTCCGGACGAGCGTCCTAAAAAGGGGAAAACGAGGGAACTCGAGGTTAGACCCGAGATCGGCATTCATTTCCACGGTGACGAGGACTCGGAGAATCCCAACGACGGGGGATGAAAAACCAAACGGCGGGTCAAATGGTCGGGACATAGAGTCGATTCGTAGGTTAGGTTAGGGCGCCCTCCTCGGCGGGTGGGAGGATCGGGGAGGAAAATACGGAAGGCCATGGGAACAGGATACGGGATGTCCTTTTCCCCTTTCCAGTGTGGGAGCCGGCTCTCGGCGCAAGATAATGGGGAAAATATGACCGGCGAGATAACCAACGGAGGGAAATAATTGAAATAGGATACGGGGTCACCGGCGTGAATTCTCTCTCTCGATCGCGAGGCCAAAACGGCCGACTCTCTTTTTCCATGTTTTCCGTTGCCCCCCTTTTAACCGGGCAGAATTGCCAATCTCGGCCACCCGAGGAGGCCATCGAGAGCCCCCAATTCGTCGCTTCCAATTTCCCCCGCTGCTCCTGGCCACTCCAAGTTGAACGGAATTACATGCGCGATATGGCAATTAATCCTGGAATTTAGGAATAAGAAGAAAACAGAGGGAGAAAAGAAATGCCACGAGTCTTTCGCTTTTCCACGGTGATTCATTATTCCCGGGGTTTGCGACCTCCCGATCGACGAGGACGAGCCATTCGCGTCGAAATAACGGTTCGTTGTCACAGGCCTGGATCACGGCGATCTTATCACCGGGTATATATATAAAGCCGCGATCGCAGTCGCGGTGAAACAAGGTTAAAGTCGCGAGTCGCGATGCGGGGCCAGAGGTTGCTCTTCGTCACGCTGATCCTGCGGATCTGCCGGGTATCAGGGACCCAGACTTTGCTCCAGGAAGCCTGGGCCAAAGTCTTCGGATCGGCGCCGACGTACTCGAAGTACGGCGATCTCGAATCCCCCAGTGCCCCCCGTACCCCCGTAACGCATAATCGGACGTTCGACGTTAACGTTAAGCTAAAGAAAATTCATTCCCCAGGATTTTCGAATTCTCTTACGTCCTTCTCCTCCCAGGAATGATTATTCACCCGAGGTGTTGAATTTTGACGAGGTTGACGAGGAACCCTTTTCAGCGTGCGGACGTCTCAGCTCTTGAACCAGCTGTGCAACGAGTCTCAGGGCGACGCCCAGACGCTGAGGGACGCCTGCTATGGTTGCTTCTTCAGGGCCAGCAACAAGCCATCGGGTTATCCGATGTTGCTGGGAATGGCCTCCTGCGCCGATCTCTACCTGGCGGACACCGAGTACGGTCACTGCCAGGTTTACCTGAGGGTGAGTAGCTCGAGTCCCGACCGAAGGCGAGATTCCCCATAAGGATGGCGACGATGGGTCCCGCGATTCAAGGTGAACTGAATTTCGGTCAATCGCCATTTGCAGAACGCGACCAACACCGTGGTGTCCGGCGCCAACCCCACGACCATCTACTGCACCTTCCTCGAGTGCATCCGCCAGGTGAACAAGGACGCCCTGGTGAGTCCCTCGGGAGGCGGTCGAAGCCGAGGCCAGACCTAGACTCGGCGCCACTTTTCAGGTGTACATAGACGACGCGATGCACCTGTCGCGACGAACCGACAGCGGCAGGTGCACTCCCCCGGGATGCATTTTTCAGCCCCCCTAATGCACGTCCACCTTTTCTCCCCGACACTCCCTGTAAATACATGTAAATAGAGGGGACACCGTTTCCGCGAGCAGGACGCGCGGTTCGGCAAGAGGTCTAGGCGAGCGGGACATCCTTTGATCCTGACGGGACACCTCTTCGCGACGCGGAGGGTTTGCATCCTGCGGGAGAGGGCCAAGGACCCGGTGACGATCAGGCCGGGAGCGGAGCCCATCGACCCGCGTCGCTCTTCCGGTAGGATTTTCGAGTACAAGTACTAGCAGGGAGTTAATGTAATTACGCTTGTAAATACGGCTCACGTCCTCCCAAAAGTCCTCTTCTACCCGCTCTACCCTCTTAATGTCGAAACCAAACCGGGGAGAAATAATTAAAAAAATAAATAAATAAGTAAGTAAATGCATTGAGGAAACTTTACAGATCAGAACGTGTCTCGGGGAGGCGATCGGCATGTTCCCCAGCTTCGACTGCACCGACCTGCAGCTAACCGCCCAAGTGTTCGTCAACACTACGGCCTGCATCCTGGCCAAGACACGTCACGGAGTCCTCAACCCCATCACCGGGGCGGTGCAGGAGGAGGCCATCGCTAGTCCTCTCGTCAACGCGATCCTCGTCAACTCCGACTACGACATCAACATCGTGCAGCTGCCATTCACGTACGACAAAGTCGACGAGTGCGCCAAGTACCGTAACGTGCATCAGGCCTGCTGGCCGGGGGTGGATTGTTGAGCTTGGATCGTCCACAGCTCCTGAAGCGTAGCCCCGCGGAAAAAAAGTGTCCCACAAAAGTTCCGCGGAGAGATGTCCCCCGGAACTTTCGTAAGAAAGATTTCTCGCCAGCGCGTACAGTTGGGGCGGAAAATTCGATTTCTATGCGGCCGCGGTCCGAGGGTGGCGGGGAGGCCACGCCTTCGGCGGTGGGAAAAGTCGCTCATTTTCTCTCGGCGAGTCCGAGCGCCGGGGCGCATGCGCGGATGCGTTACGGGGGCATTCCACGGGTGTCATCGGGCGTGGAGCTAAGAATAGCGCGCGCGCGCGATTATCTTGCACATACGCGCGAATCATCGCGCGCGCGCACGGTGACATCACGTTTCCCCTGGTGCCGGGAAAATCGGGCCAGGGGGGCGAGCGGGTCCAACGGAATTCTCAGTCACGCCAACGCGCCGCGCGGACGCCGCGGCGGTGACGCGCGGCCGCGTTGCAGGCGACCGCAGTTGCAACGGGCCGAGTGACTCACGCTCTACCTGTCTGCGAGGCGACCGTATAGAGAATTCAAATTTCCACGTTACCCGTGAATGCTGCGACGAAACGGCCCGAACGAAAGTTGCCCATTATGTTATTCCAAGCAACTTTTGTTGGGAAGAATTTTCTCCAGCGTGGATGATTCGCGCGGAAATCCAGATTTTCGAGGGGTCGGTAGGTGGCGGGTGGGGGTAAAGCTCCACGCGTGGTGGGGAGGCGCAGCTTCCCGCGCGAGCTGCGCCGCGTGCGAGCGACTCCGCGCGCTGCGGGGGCATTCCTCGAGTGTCATCGGACATCCAGCTAAGAATAGAGCGAATCATCACGGTGACATCACGTTTCCCTTGGTGCCGAGGAAACCGGGACGAAGAGCGCGACCCGGCGCAACCGATCGCCGGCCTACTCCGATGCAACTGCAGTTGCACGTCGGAGTGATTCATGAAACTCTCGCGCGTTGGATTCGCTCGCGAATCGGCAATAGGATCGCAAACTGCAAGGGCCGCCCTCCGATTCCATTTACTATCCCACTTATGCTGATTGGCCCGATAAAGCACTCCCCGGGTAAAAATCCCGGGGCCGGTTCAAAACCTACGTAAATAAATTGTTTATCCCCCTTCATCGGGGTTACTTCGCCGATTGCTCGGCGTGGGTGATAGGTCGCGCAATTTAAGGGAATATCGTTTAATCGCGATCCCGACCGGAAGGTCGATTAATTCTAATTAGCGGTTACATATCGTTTATCGCTCTTACACGTCTTGTAATGACACCGGGAACAGCTCTTGGCATGGTAATTGCGCGCTGGGAGAGATACCAAGGCGATACCGAGGCACTCCGTTCCGAGTACGTATCACTGGCGATAATTAGATGCATAAAACTTATCCACTTGAGCGTACCTACTGTGTATCGATTGGAATACCTCCTGGTTAGGGCTATACTTAGACAGAGACACTAACGCCCGTTCCGCGGCTAATGGCGGCCTCCGCATTGTTGGCCGATTGAAAATGCCAAAGCCTACGATATTGCACGCCGCGAAGTGGTATTTCTCGCCCGGCTAATAATTCCTCGATAACGAATCTCCGGCCACTGATAACGATCGTCCATGCGAGCTGGATCTACTTAACAGCAGAGTTATTTATATCTTTTTTCCATTTTCTTTTTCGAGGAGAAAACGGAACACCGCAGTCATCTCGTGGGATGATCCGCGTCCACCCGGAGCCTCCGTTAACCCAGAATTTCTACCCGGAAACTGCAATTCGACTGGTAAAGTAGAACCCTACCGTCCCCCCGTCAGCCGCCGCGTTTTGCGGCATTTCCATGGCGATTGCGCAATCGAACCGTTGTTTGTTCGCGGCAAATCTCCCGCGCGGTAAAATTCCTTACGAAACACGGCCACGGACGTCTAGCGGTACGTTTACTTTCGACTTTAAGCGACTTCGAGATATCGCGCCGAGGTTCCGCGAGCGGCTCGGCCGGCTTCTCGGGACGGTCGGCGTCGATCGTCGCTATCGACCGGCTCGATCGCGGATCGATCGGCGTCGGTGCATCCCATAGTTTCCGGCAACCTTCCGTTTATAAATAAAACCCGACTACGTATAGACCTCGACGTCGATCGACCCGTTTTTCCGCGTCCTCCGTCGTGGAATTCAGCCTTCGCGGTTAAAACTAGCCCGCGGACAATTTCTAAGTGACGACCCGACCTATCGACTTTTCCCCGATTTAATGTTTCCCCCTCGTTCCCGGGAGTTAATCGCAAATAGTAGGCGAGTCGCTACGCACCCCGGTATATACTCTGGATATATTTTCGCGTAAGTGCGCCTCGACGGTCCCGTTTATAAATAAAATCCGACGCGTATGACGGCTTCGACGCTCGATAGGCGGCACCCCCGGCGAGTCTGGATTCGGGGACGCGGCGACATCTCCCGGGAAAGCGGGGAACCCCGAAGCCCTCCTCCTACCTCCCGGCATTATTTATTAACCGATTAATCGATCAGCCGCATACCCTCCACGGTGGAAGGTTCCCAGAACCGGGAGTTTCGCATTTCCCAAGCCGAAGGCGGTCCTCAGGGTCGTCGGATCCTGCCCACGGGGCTTCTTCGCGAGCTCATATTAGGTGTCGGAATGTAGGCTTCGGTCGCTAAATCGACCAAGCCGTGTCAAGTAGAACTTGGCGTAGCGCGACTCAGCCCTGAACTTACAGGTATGCACCGATCGATCGGGCACGTAGCGAGATAAACAAACGCTTGTCCGTGGACGGAGACCCATTTCTTGCCCTTCCGTCCGCACTTATGCCCGGTTATAAGGAAAACAAGACGCGGTGACCTACGGCACTTGGGAATGCGTATTACGTTAACGAGGTACACGTGTCCGACCGGTGGGCAAACCCGGGAAAAGATCCGCGCGGTAGCCCGTGGCGTGCGTGCGTAATGAGCCAGCAGGAAAGAAATTTCGCTTTCGGTCCGTAGAGGGCCGAAAAGGAAGAATACCGGGAGAATAACGTGAGACCCACAATCCGAGAAGTAAACGGGCGTCCATTGATTACGCCGTCATCCCGATTTAGCGAGTGGAGGCACCCGTAACCAACGCTCGGCTTAAAGTCCGGGGTCCAAAGTCAAGAGTGCCGCTTCGCGCCGAAATAGAGTGGCGAGCACTGGAATTCTTTTCCCACTCGAAATCGAGCGAAACCGGCGGACCCGGGTCTCGTTTTCGCAGTTCGGAAGGAGCTCCCCTACCCGCTCCCTCCTCGGCGATCTCGAGCCGGCGATACGACCCACTTCCGGCGGCCAATTAGCTAATTAACCGAAATTAAAGGAGCGCCCAGAGGCCGTCGTTCCCACCGAAAGGAAACCGCGAAACTCTTACGGCGCTTCCCGGCCAATTGGCCCTCGGTGTTGCCGACCCAATAATTACGTTCTTCCGGGCCTCCACCCAGGAGACCTCATACTTCGCCTTGGACTAATTACGTTACGTTAAAAACGACGGGAACTTATTCCTTAACCTAGTACATGGTCTAAGAAGGAGACTCGAGACGGAGGCCAGCTCGTTAATCGGACGCGTATAGAAATCCCCTTCGCTCTAAAAGAAAATTCAATAAGTCGTCACGGAGAGTAAGGTTTATGCTACGAAGTAACCACCGAGTAAATGAAATATACGGAACCTACGGTATCACGCGTGGCGTACCTCCATCGCGTGGGGCGCGGGGGGAAGGATCTCCAAGAGGTGTGCCCGCCGATAAAGGACGACCCGCCACGCAGGAGAAGCGCAGGAGGAGGCGGAAACGCGGCTTCGCAAAGCGTGACACTCTGCCCGTGACTTCCGGCTTTAAGGTGCGTTCACCCCGGGGGCGACGGAAGCCGACCAACGGACGCAGGGAGGGCCGCGTGAAACTCGAGACGGCGAACTCTGGCCTCGGGAAATCGAGCTCGCACCTGGGGATGAAAACGCCTCGGGAGGTAATTTTGAAATTGGCAGAAGTGGAACTTACCGGCGCCTCGGTCTGAATTCCCTGGGTAAATGCTTCCTTTCGGTCCTGGCTCGAGATACTATCTAGGTTCGGAGGGTCCAGCGAGGTTAGGTCGGCCGGGTCTCGGCAGGAAGGGGCACATCCTTCGGGCGGGAGCGGAAAGAAACGGCTAAAGTTAGACATGGCTCGGATTCTCCGAGGTAGCACCTGGCCTTTCGCGCCCCCTTAAACTCCGAGATCCCGGATCCGCGGGGTCGCGAGTTACTTCGCGGCGTCGCCGCCTCGTCGATCGGCCGACTTCGCGATGCGGGGCCGCGGGCCACGTTACGTAATCCCGTGACGTAATCGGGGTCGCGGCGGTTGGGCCGGTCCAACGGAAAGCGCGGGGTGGGGCGCGGACGCGGCATCACCTTGTCCGTGACGTAAGCGCGGCGGAGGCGGACGAACAGGTGACAGGCGCTGCCGGCCAATGACGTCAATGCTCCGGGGGCCAACGAACCGGCGCGCAGGCGTCCTCCCGCGGGCCGCGACGCATCTCGCCTCTCTCTCGCGCTCGGCGGCCGCGCATCGGGGCGTCTCTCTCTCTCTTTCTTACTCCGGCTACTCCTCGAGGAAATCGCGAGGCCCCCGGTCGGACGAGCGCCGGCTCGAGGGGCCGGGATTTCCCGGTGCTCCCGCGACCGGAGGGCCCCGGGGTTGTCGATTCGAAAGGTCGAGAAGTTTCCTCGGGGAGGGCAACAAAGAGGGACGAGCGTGCAACGGCCACGGACCTCGGTCGAGCCGAGGCCGGCGGAAAGTACATGCTCGAGAGGGTGTCAGTGCTTACGATCGGCACGGTGCTCTCTGCCATTCTTCCCTGGGAACCTCGGTGGGAGACTCGGACCGGCCTCTAGGTTGCACTCACGGCACGGATCGCCCGAACTCACGCCACCGCGCACCGAATCCGCGAAACCGTCAGCCATCATGGATCCGTCGGCGATCGAACTGCGCCCGTTAGCCGCGCCGGTGGCGCCCTCTCTGGGGCGCCAAC